CTGTTGCGTGGTGGCAGCACCACAAGGACTCGAGACGTCAACTGGGTAAGCCTAAAATCGTGACATGGGCCAAGTTCCGAAAACCTATCGAGAGGGAATTTCTTCCATTCAATTACGTGAGCACCATATATCAAAAACTCCAGAATTTGCGCCAAGGTGCTCAATCTGTGGATGAATACACGAAAGATTTCTACTGTATACTCACGCGTGTCGATTTCCGTAAGACAACGGCTCAGAAGCTATCCCATTACGTAGATGGCTTACGACTCGCAATCCGGGACATGCTGAACATGTTTACGCCTGAAACTGTGTCGGCCGCCCATCAACAGGTCTTGCTCGTTGAACAGCAACTCTCGCGGCGTACTGCCTCGTCATCCGGGTTTCAGCCACGCGCAAGGTTGCCGTCTTCTTCCTCGGCCGGGCAGAATCGGTCGGCAGCTACAGGCGGGTTCCCGGCTTCCCGCAGCAGCGGAGCGGCAGGCGTGTCGACCGGCCAGATGGTCGGGGTTGGCGGAGCAGTGACTGCAGAAAGTTCACGTGCGGGGGGTGGGCCACGCTGCTTTTCTTGTGGAGAGACCGGCCACCGCCAGTCAGCGTGTCCTCGGTGCGGCGGCAGCTGCACATTGCTGGCGGAATGAGCCTGAGCTGGTGGAAGAGCATCTGTGTGGCAACGAGGGCCTGACTTTGGTTTTTCGTCGTTCGTGTTTGTCACCTCGGGTCTCGGCTGATGACTCTTTGCAGCGGCACAATATTTTTGAATCCACGTGTACGGTAGGTGGTCATGTTTGTTGTTTCATTATTGACTCTGGCTCTTGTGAAAACGTTGTAGCTCAGGATGCTGTTGATCGTCTTCACTTATCCACGATACCGCACCTTCATCCATATACTCTGGCGTGGATTTAGCGAGGCAATGCCATCAAGGTTGATCGTCGGGTATTGGTGCAATTTTCGATTGGACCCAAGTATCGTGATTCTACGTGGTGTGATGTGGTGCCCATGGACGCGTGTCATCTCCTTTTGGGTCGTCCTTGGCGGTTCGATCGTTCGGTGGCTTACGAAGGACGCCTCAACACTTACAGCTTTATTTTTCAGGACATTTGTTTGGTGCTTCATTCTTCACCTCCTCGCCCGGTTCCCCAGGCCACACCTTCCCCGGTTCTTTTTTTTACTCGCGCGGCTTTTCTTGAGGAGATGCGGGAGGCTCCGTGCATTCTGCTTCTTGTGGGTGTGGATGTGAAGACTACTACGGCCACTCCAGCCATTATTCAACCCTTACTTGAGGAGCTTTCTGATGTGTTCCCTGCTGAGTTATCATCCGGCCTCCCTCCGCTTCGGGACATCCAACATCAGATTGATTTGGTGCTTGGAGCATCTCTGCCTAATCGTCCTCATTATCGTATGAGCCCGGTTGAACACGAAGAGTTGCGACGGCAACTGGAGGAGTTGTTGCAGAGAGGGGTCGTTCTCGCAGTTTGAGCCCGTGTACAGTGCCGACCCTGCTCATTCCAAAGAAGGATGCCTCGTGGCGTATGTGTGTTGACAGTCGTGCTATTAATAAGATCACAGTCCGTTACAGGTTTCCCATTCCCCTCCTCGATGATCTTTTGGACCAGTTGCATGGCGCTTCGGTTTTTACCAAACTTGATCTTCGCAGTGGCTATCACCAAATTCGGATCCGCCCAGGCGACGAGTGGAAGACCACCTTTAAGATCTGGGAGGGTTTTTTTTAGTGGTTGATGATGCCCTTCGGTCTATAGAATGCACCCAGCACTTTCATGCGAGTGATGAACCAAGCGTTGCGTGACCTCATTGGGCGGTGTGTCGTCGTTTATTTCGACGATACCTCATCTATAGTCGCGCTATCACAGAACATTTGGATCATGTGCGAGCGGTCTTACTGATTTTATGGTCTGAGTCCTTCTTTGCGGTGCCCCGAAAGTGCTCTTTCATGGTCGATTCGGTTCTATTTTTGGGCTTTTTCATCTCTGCGACTGGCATTCGAGTGGACGACAGCAAGGTAGCCGTTATTCAGGACTGGCCGACTCCAACGCCGTTCACGGAAGCACGGAGTTTCCACGGTTTGGCTTCCTCTTATCGACATTTCATTCACATTTTAGCTCTATTACTGCGCCGATCACGGACTGTCTACACGGCAAGTCCTTTGTCTGGACCCCTCAGGCTGCCGATGCTTTTGATCTTATCGAGAGCAAGCTCACGTCTGCTCCTGTTTTGGTCCTCCCCGATTTCTCCCTCCCGTTTGAGTTGTCTTGTGATGCTTTGAAGGTCGGGATTGGTGTCGTTCTGAGCCAGGAGGGCAGGCCTGTTGCATTCTTTAGTGAGAAGTTGTCTAGGCCGCGGTTGTGCTACAGCACCTTTGACGTCGAGTTCTATGCCGTGTTTCGAGCTATCACTTATTGGAGATATTATCTCTTTCATCGGGAGTTTGTTTTATTCTCCGACCACGAGGCCCTTCGCCACCTTTGCTCTCAAGGGAATATTTCTGCTCGCCATGCTACATTGGACATCTTATCTGCAACAGTTCACTTTTGTGCTGAAGCATCGCTCGGGTGCTTCAAATCGAGTGGCAGATGCCTTGATTCGTCGTTCGTTGTTATTGACTGATATGCGGGTCGAAGTTGTGGGGTTCGATTTGTTGAATTCGGGCCCATTATTACTCGCCTCGCTTTGGGCCCGATAGATGATTATGCTCTTTCTGATGGGTTCTCATTACGCGGCGTGCGATTATGCGTTCCCGACTGTAGCCTGCGTCTGAAGGTGGTGACAGACCTTCTTGGTGTCGGACACGTGGGCAGCGATCGCTCCATCGACCTGGTGAGTCGCTCATTCTTCTGGCCGTCTTTACGAAGGGATGTGGCTCGTTTCGTGGAGCGTTGCCGTACTTGTCAGGTTTCTAAGGCTGTGGCATCCAACGCCGGCCTTTACAGGCCCTTTCTGATTCCCTCATGCCCGTGGACCGCGATTAGTATGGACTTCATCTTGGGTTTGCCTCGTACTCAACGAGGTAATGATTCTATCTTTGTGGTCGTCGACCGTTTTTCCAAGATGGTCCATTTTATTCCTTGCAAAAGGACTGCGGATACACTTCATGTGGCTACTTTATTTTTTTGAGAATGGCCTGCCGTCTTCTATTGTTTCTGACCATGACACACGCTTTCTGAGCCATTTTTGGCGTAGTTTGTGGCGTCTCGCCAACACACAGTTGGACTTCAATAGCGCTTATCATCCTCAGACTGACGGCCAGACAGAGGTCGTTAATCACTCGCTTGGGAATTTATTGTGTTGTTTGGTGGGCGACAATCTGAAGAGTTGGGACCAGCGGCTCCCGTAGGCTGAGTTTGCTCATAACTCGGCTATGAGTCGTGCGACCGGGTTGTCCCCGTTTGAGGTGGTTTACGTGGTTCGCCCGCGCGGTGCCGCCGATTTGTTGGCCCTTCCTTCAGGCGTGACAGCCGATCCTCGGGCTGAGGACTTGATAGCTGATTTACGGCAGACTCACGAGACTGCCTGGGCTCGTTTGGAGGTGGTGACCGCGGACTACAAGAGATGCGCGGATGCTGGACGTCGCCATGTCGAGTTTGAATTGGGCGATTTCATGTGGGCGGTCCTCACTAAGGATCGTTTTTCGGCCCATGAGTATAATAAGCTCTCCGCCCGCAAGATTGGCCCAGTTGAGATCGTCGAGAAGATTAATAATGCCTACCGTCTCCGTTTGCCTTCGCATATTCGCACGTCGGACGTTTTCAACGTCAAACATTTGGTTCCTTATTTCGGTGAGAATCCCGATGGAGACGAGATTCAAAGGCAAATCCTTCCCAACCTGGGGAGGATGATGGAGACGAGATCGCATTAGCATTTAGGGAAAAATATGATCGTTTACCACCTTTAGTTTAGTTATTTATCTCATAGATATTTTATTATTATGTTTTATTCTCTTTTCCTAAGTTACTATTATTTACTTGATTAGCAAGTTAAGGATTAGGAGTCTAGTTGAGACTTTATTTATATCATCTCTTTCATTTAAAGACGTTGGTTGTTTATGAATAATTTTATCAGATCTTGAGATTTATCTCTTGTTCCCTTTTCGTTTAACGTTGCGCTACATCAGAAGCTTTTGATTATTGCATTTATCTTTATCAAATATTTATGAAAATAAGTACTTTATATATCATCGAATAAAAATGACAATAATATAGCATATACTCCCACTAGAGTGAAGCTTCCTCAATATGTAACACGCTCATATGAGTTGTATGCTCGTGAAATACCATAGGTGTTTCCCCCATAGTTATGAGATCAACTAATATAAATTATGTGTCTAAGTGTTCAATGAAAATCTGACCACTTTGTACCCTCTTCTTCATAGCTAGGAACTTAACGTCAATATGATTTGACTTGGACGAGCTTCTATTGTTGTTGGAGTTTAGAACGACTGATTTATTGTCACAATATGATTTATTGTTGTTGAACGAGCTAAGGAATACATAAGCAATTTAATTAGAATATTACAAATTAAAATATTATTTTTTATAATACAAAAAATTCTTCAACTTAATTTGTATTTTAACTTATAGTGTATCAACTAAATCCAAGTCTAATTTCTTTGCACCCCCGTCCCCAATTTTTTTAAAATAAAAACTGCCTGAAGCAAGCAATTCACTAAACCAACCAAAAATTGCCAATTCAAGCCCTCCAAACCCCAACCCGGAACTGACTTTTCTGACCTGAAACCAAGGTTTGGCAGCATATATTGAAAATGATTAAGTGATATTATTTAAATTATATTAAAAATATTGAAGAGATTTTGATTGAAATAAAATTGAGTTGAAATTTAAATTAAAAAATTGTAAAAAAAAAATTCTGATCAAATAAACCAAATATTCCTTTATCCAATGGATTTGATATTAATGCAAGCATTTCATTTTCATCATTTATTTGGTACTCATTAGTTTGATTGATTGCATATTAAATTATTAATGTGACCAATGTTTATGTGCGTTAAATTCATATAATTCGACATCGAGTGTGCGTGCTTGTGCATAATGATAAACCCAAAACAGACGATTGTCACAACAAATTCAGCAGGGTACATCTTCAGTGTGTTCATTCAAAACTGTGAAGGAGACTGCTAAGTGCCAATATTGAAGAAAATTACTAAAGTTCCCACGAATTAGAAACAACATTACATTTAGTTCAAGGAAATCAGATAGGGCAAAAGTTAGCCGCACAAAAAACTTGTACCGAAGCAGTTAAAATTGTTGAGAAATCTTCTTGCGCCATAGCTTATACAACCATCTTTTATGTCCCCACTTCCACCACGCAGGCGCCTTTGCCCGTCTCTTCTTTTTCCTCATCTTTTCTGCACATATAAGCTATCAAAGTCAGTTAATAATGATAAAATTCCCTCTTGGAAACTATAAGGTGCCTTTGCACTGTGTTTGAAATTTTAAGCTCCATCAACAGAATTATGTATCAGTTTACCCTAATGTTTTTGTACCCATAACACCACCTTGATATGACATCATAGTATCATACTTGTTTTTAGCACAACATTAAAATAAAAAAAAATGGGAGGATTTAAATTGTAAAGGAAGATGAGTCTGGGAAAGTAATATACTAACTTTTGTCCTGAAGGGTATACCATCCCCATTCTAACAGTAAGTTTGAAAGTCTCTGTTCCAATGAAGGCCAATAATTCGACTGAATTTTAAGCACTTCTAGAATGGTTTGCAGTCCAGCCTTTGATGGCATTAGTTGCTGCTCCACATTATGTTTGGGACTTTCACCAAGTAAGACCTGCATGTAACAGAGGACTGCTTGAGGAAATAACAACAAAAAAGGGGGTTGGAAATCAAGAAAAAACGAGAATAATCAAAAGACAGGAAAGACCAAAACCATCAGTTTATTTAATGGAGGACTGAACAAAAATTCAAGTACTTCAACCAAACATTTAGACAGTAAATATATGCTATGATCACAATCTAATAAATACTTGTAACCTTCAGCATTAATTCTTTAGAAGTGTAGACCACTTCTCGACATGACATGTCCACATATCAAAAGGTAAACTCAACAAGAAAATCAATCATTGAAAAGAAGCAACATGATTCATGTCGTGATCATGTGATTGAAAGCATTTAATTTTACGTTATATTGCTTTATCTATGGATAAAAATAGTTCATCAACCAACAGTTAAAAGAAATCCGATTTCTGCAAACTGTATTTCATCAGGAGCATGCTTTCAGTCCTTTCTGACCCATCATACCAGATTGGGCAAAAAGTTAGGACGCCTAGAAAAGATAACAAATAGCTACTCAGCAATTAAGCATTGGGTACAATTGCAATCCAATTACCCGGCCACCATCTGACACAACAATGAACATTTTTTTGAATAGAAATTTATTTCAACACCACCTGTATTCCATATTAGGTAATTTTTACATTGCAAATTTTTAAATGGTGAGAAGAAATTGTTTTCTTCTTCTTTTCCGAATTCAGGTCCTCATAAATGAGGCATTCGTATTCATTTAACTAATCCAACATTTGTGATCCCTCCATCATCAGTCCATTGCAGATGGTGAATCTTTCATATGCTAATTTTTCTTAACAATTGAATTTCAATTCAAAGAATAGAGTAAGACGGAACAGTTTGCAAAGCTTTAACTTTCAGAACTTAGATTTCCGAAGCTTTTCTGATATAATCTTTTAGCTGGTGGTCATTCCTTGAATTTCAGAATCAGTGGATCAAAACAAATATCTGGGGCCAGTAAACCAAGTACCATTAAACAAGCCAAGGCAGTTACCCGGCATTTATTGATTAGTTGACAGCTTCTGGATTTATTAACTACTGATAGGAGTAAAGTATCAAGAGAATGAAATACGAAATTTTATTTAGTAAACAGAAACCAGAAGCTTAAAGCTTCCCAGCAGAACCATTCTGCCCAGTAAGATTAAATCTTGCCCTATAGCCAAAGGTATTACAATATGATCCGTATTGCCCTCCTTGTCTCTACTAAAAATCCTATATTTATACAACACTAACATAATTATAAAAGGGACTAATAATAGAAGAAAGAAAATAAAAATATTCGAAAGGCAATCAACCCAGATCCCAAAATTACCCCAAATCTGTAGGGTTATTCTCCTTTCCTTAGTTGTTTAACTATAATTTATTCTTCAATATTACTCTCCACGATTTATGCTCGTTTCGCCTGATCTCTACCATACACAAAGACCAGGTATGTAGCCGTACTGAAGGACTTCACTAACAAAAGATATAATTAATGACTTCCTCGGTCATGAGGACTGTTCTAGAAAGAAATTGTAATGTATAATAATTGCAGTGACATGCATCAAATAAAGAGTTACAAAATTTGTTGCATTGGGAAGGTTAAAATCATGATAGTTCTTTGAGCTGACAGATCAGAATGAGGTGATGCTAGAACCACAAGTCCCAGAAGGACTATTTCAAGAGTAAGGGACAGCTGATAAGTCATACTATATTTTGGATCTGCCATATCATTCAAGCATATGTATGCATACATATAAGCAAACAGACACACATTCTACTCTATCAACTTCTTTTTAGCTACTGTAATAACTTCGCCTTTTTATATAGATAAGAAAACTCTTACGCGGGGTAAACAAACTAAATAGTGTCACTTCTGATATCCAGCAGAATTGCTCTATCAACAACACACTCAACCACGTTGAGTAGATGAGTCATCTGTGAACAGACTGCATTACTCAGCTGATCAAACTAATCTAACAGCCATGTGAATGCGGAATTTGTAAGAGTGAAAGTTTAATTGTACACACTTCTTTCGAATTTTACTCGCCTTTGAAACTAGGCAGAAACTTACATTGGATTGTGATTCTTTATTCCACGATAATATCATGATGCCTCCTATCTCGCTGTTATTCTTTTTGATGTCAAATACTTTTAAAAAATGTCTCTACAATGGCTATAGTAGTCATTATCGGATATGAGACTATGGGGTCAATTTACTCCAAGGTACTGAAGCAAAATAATTACGTAAGGAGCCAAAGAAACTTTGGTGATGTTCTTTAGTTTATTTCTACATGTAATAAACATCTGAGAAACATGAAGACGAGCTCGACATTTCATGATGGGCATTGAAAAAACTTCGTCATATATGATCAAATTCATGATGTAGAAGATTACCATGTTAAATTATTTTCAATAAATGATTGAGCACTCAACAAATAGGACAACATTATGAGAACAACCCTGGACATTGTATCCCAAAATCATTAGAAGTCCAAGCATAATGATGTGCAAGCACTCAATTAAGAAGACAACAAGAGAGAAAGACTCTCGAAGATTGCACCCCAGATCATTGAAGACCAATCATGCCCCACTACAAGATGAAAGTCAAAAACAAAAGGATGTTCATGCATTTTATGACTTAGGGATACAGCAAAACACAACTAAAATGGGAATGAGTGGAAGTGTTTGACCAATGTCATTCCTTACTAAAGCAAAAGTAAAAAGACAACACAACCACGTGACTTTTGATTTCTTGACATCTTAGAAGGCTGCACAAGCAACATATATTTTTAAATGAAATCCCATTTATCCTTTTTAATTTTAGTAGATTCCTTTGCTTGTTCAACTTTCAACTTAGTATAAGCATTCAAAATAACAAACTTTTAACTAAACTTAAATCAATTCTAAGGGGGGGAAAAAACAGGCCCTCAACTACCAGTTTCCACTTCCAAAAGGCATAACTGACCTGCCTATCCCATCTCAGATGGTAATAAATTTCCTGGCCTTGGGGCTTTGACTACTTACCCAATACAACCCATGAAACAACCATCACATATGGAGGGATTAAATTCAACCACCTTAGAGCTAGCTTCACCTTTAATTATTTCTCGCTAGCAGAGGTGCTATGTAGGATATTATTGACGAATAAATGTTACCTTAATAACTGCAGTAGCAGAGGCTGATATTGATCGCAGATTATACCTGCAAAAACAGTAGATTTAGATGACAGAAAAGAATATTGCTTAAAACAAACAGAATGTAAATGGAGGAAGGAAAAATGAGAAAAGCAAGTTTTAAAAGGAAAATGACATCGAATGAAGAAATGGAATAACAAATAGAGAGGAAACAGCAGTAAGAAAAAACACACCCGCCCTCAAGGATAACAAGTAACTTTCCACCAAATAGGTCACGGCACATCTGTGTCATCTGTGCATAGCCAGTAGGAGTGACCTAAAAGAAGAAAAAAAAAACACAAAAAAATAAAACAGATACAATAGTCTGATATAATATAATATAATTATTAAAATCCATGCATCCTCATGTCTCATCCTAGATCAGGTAACCATTTTAAATTTAATGACTAATAATGCTTAAAACGTCAAAGACTAGAAAGTAGCTCCTCGCCAAGAGCTTTGTTGATACTTGATAGAGTAACATGTTTATTTCTCAGATGATATTAGTTTAAGGACGCGGAAATTAAAAAAAAAAATCATCAGGTCAAAATTATAGTAAAATCTGGAGCATCAAATCTATACTATAGTAACAAAAAATAAAACAATCTATACATCACAGCCGCCAAGAGGGTCGCCACGAGCAGCATCAAATCCAGCAGAAATTATAGTAAAATCTGGAGCAAACTCAGAAGCTGCATAGAACAAAAGTTGCAACATCAGCAGGTCAAAATTATGAAGGGTACGTTATTATCCATGTTAACTACTATTAACAAGTTCAAATATGCAAGAAACAATTTACATCAATACTTGTACCATGAATATAGACAACAGCTTCTGAAGAGTGCATGGCTTGTACAGAAACTATAAAAGAATTAACATTCACTTTCTAGTTGCCACCTTAGTACTCTATATAAAAGAAAATACGACAATGAATTTTCACTTGCTAGTAATCCTAACCAAATCAAGATTACACTCTCATCAGACCACGAAAAGAAATTATGCAGATTCACCATTTGTCAGTCCCCACATCAAATTATTATCCCATACAAAAGGCTCAATGTTAAACAGGACGAATATAGAGACCATATGGAGAACTACAGATAGGTACAGAACATCATCACCTATAGGAAGCACAACTTGCTGAAACGCGAAAAGATAGTCATTGTTGCCAACACCCCCACAACTCCATGGAACATTAACACAATACCCTTTAGCATCCCCTTTCCCAACCTGCAAAAGTAAAATAGTAATGTGGCACCAACATCAACAGAAAAATACCAAAAATGAGAGAAAAAATAACAGTATTAAACTTAAATTCAGAAGCACGTAACACATGCATGTACATAGAGAAAGCTTTTTACGCCCATGTTCGACAACATGAAATTGAATATTCTTTGGCTTCATGGTTTTGATGAATATACGTTTAGTTACCTATCCAAATGCTAGATAACGAATTTAAAAGTTGAATTACATTATTAAATAATTCTACCTAGAAAAATCACTGGAATACAATTTCAAAGGTGCAATTACGTAAGAGAACTTGCTATGTCATATGGTATGAACGACTAACCCTAGTAAGTTAAGTGAGATTTAAGTTTCCATCAAAAATTGAAATTACAGAGAATATCTCGCGCTTCCATGCGGCGCTCGTTCCTCCTCATTAGCTTTAGACTAATGAGCCACTCAACGAGAGATTTGTTAAGAATTATAATAGCACAGATAATTAAACGATAATGTATTAAACCATGACGAAAATTGACGTATAACATTAAACAAGATAATATAGGAACCAAAAGAGTCGATATGTTGGTAGCCAAAATGTTTCTTGCAGTTTCTTTGGCAGCATTTTTTTCTTGCTTATATGTTACTAAAACTTGAATTCAAGCTGTGAAAAATAATTACAAGAAAAAATGCCCGACAATAGCCTATGAACTAAGGCATCATTCACACGCATAATAAAGTAAAAACGGAGATGTTGAAACAGAAGCCGTGTACTCAAAGTGTGTATCAGTGCTATAGTGCATAGCAGCACACAGATACACTATGGTTAAAAAGAGGGTGAACCACCTCATAAGCAGATCCAGTACCAGGATAGAACTTTCCACCCTCATATCTATGCAAAGATAAATACAAAACCTACAAAATTAAAATAAATATTCAAAATGAAAATCTCAGCATGGAATTAAATAAAAGCTACAAAAAGGAAACAATTTTTGATTTTCAATCCTTATAACTTCCAACATCACATACAATTAGCATCATTCTAATTTCTCATAGAAACAAATAAAACTCACTGCAAACTTTAACAAATCGTGAGAAAAAATGACCAAACATACCATAAACCTTCTCTTTTCTTTTTCTGTTTCTGATTTATCATGCAAGAGAAAGAAGCTGAGTAATCTAATGATCTCATTTCTTTGGCTCATTCTATTTATTTCAGGATTTAATCGCAACTCTAAGACATGATCTCACTATCATGAGCAAACATAATATTGCCAATCAGAAACATACGAACCATTTAAGATGTAACTGGTCTAGGGAAATCAATCACTTTTTTAATGGTGAGGGAGAAATTAACAAATATAGACATTCAACCTTAATAATTTTGGTTGGGAAGACATTCAAAAAGATACAACCAAAACTTTTTCATCAAAAACATCAGAACAGTTTAAAAATCTAGTGAAGAAAAAAATACTGGAGTATGTTAGTGGCATTTCTCAGGCTGTTTCTACTGTAACTGATCATTTATTGTTTATGCCATTGTTTCCATATAATAATAATGTATTAAAGAAACAACAAAACCACATCTCTCATATAACTCTAATGCTCCTGCAAACACACCACAGTCAATACTAGTCAGATAAAAAGATATTACTGGGCAATTCAAAACTGTGCATCACACAAGAACTGTAAGTTCAGAGTTATCCATTATGAGCTTTTGGATAACGCACCGATTTATTTTCCTCGAAAACTTCTTGGGTTCCATTACCATGATGCACATCCTGTGAGAATCAAGTAAATAATTAATCGTAAGAAAGACTTGGTATATGGTAATTTCTACACATGCAAATGTTACTATACTTACCCAATCAATAATCAGGATCTTCTTAGCTCCTGCAATCTGAGCTGCCGATGCAGCAATGGCTGCATTGTTGTGAAGACAAAAGCCCATGGCCTCTTTCACTCCAGCATGATGACCAGGAGGGCGGACCTGGCTCATCGTAAATGGAAGGAGAGGAAGAGTTTTTAAGAATTCTTCTAGTCCAACAATATGATAGATTCCATCTGAGGCTTTTATAAACTCATTCATATTTTCTTACCAAAGCAAAACCATTTTTTACGCTTCCGCGATATATAGCTGCAGCAAGGTCAAAACATAAACCAGCAGCAAGCCTGGCAGAGCTAGCTGAATACTGATTCGCATATGTATCAGGTGTAAAATAGCTGCAAACATTGATTGTATTTTGTTGTTAAGGAACTTCATAACTGTAGTAGGCTGATTGGACATAAAAAATAGTGTGTCGTGTAAGAAGAATAGTAATGACGGTCACCTCTTCAACCTTTACAGACAGATATCCAGGACCAATATATATAAAGAAATACAAAAAAGTCCTTGGTGAGACATTTGTTTCCTTTCTGGATAATTCAGCAGTTTCACATACCTCGACTGAACATGACTTGTAAGTTCAACAGCTCTAACATTCTCGAGTGAGTGGACCTAAAATCAAAATGAAGCATGTGTTATCAGAAGAGAGAATCTATTTGTTGCGGAAACACAAAAATTATCAGTATCTTAAACCGATCGTTCCAGTAGAAAAACTGAATATGGCAGGCTACAATTCTGGAATAAAAACTACATATATTCAGATGAGTTTTATAATGTTCACATATATCTAATTAAAATCTGGCACAAATGAGTTTCCCCAAATAGCATTTAGTACATTTATCTTACCATCAGAAGTTCTTCTTCCGTAATTTCTCTTGCTGGAATTGGATAGCACTTTCCCGGAAATATGCCTCAAATAATTTAAAAAGAACCAGTGTCATGTCAATTGGTTTCTATATAATCAATTTCCAGAAGACAATATTAAGAGATGCATGATAGTATAATACGGACAAATGATACATCATATTCTCTTTTCATGTAAGGAGTGGATGGTGGTTTATCTGTAAATAGGAGTAGCTGCCAATAAACCTGCAGCTGCAAGGCTAGCACTAATGGCTCGGAGACGATCTGGCCTTTCTGGATGGGGGTGTGACTTCAATTCAACCTTCTCAGCAAAGGGACAGACAAGAAGATATTTAGCTTAATTTAAGATGCAGCCGGTACTTACTAAACAAATAGTGCTTGAAAGTTTCCCTGAATGATCAGTATGTAGAATAAGAAACCAATTATAATCATTTAATTATATTTAAAATCATAAAAAGAGTTGAGGAATTTTAGTACATAAATTTTGATTTGTATCTCAACCTTGGGAAGATAATTTTAATTTATATATCAAAAGGTCGAGCTACCATACTTCTTCGTGAAGCAACATTCTATCATCGTATCCAATTGCTGTAAGGTTGCCCGTAGCAATACTTCGCAAGGGGGAATCTGTACCATTTCAGTTATTTCAATCACTTAAATGACATTATTAGTTCTACATTTACAAGAAATGTGAATGGGAAATCACCCTTTCAATTTCTAGGTTATACAATCCAAGAGGTAAAATAAAATAAACAAACATTTAAATATTTAATAATTTGATCTCCGCCATATAATAAAATTTAACAATATCAATGCAACACACAAACAAGAATAAAGAAGCTTCTATGCATATTGTTGCGGTCAATGATGTAGGTTTCTACTATCTCGTTCCTACACATTCAGGTTATGGTAAAGCTGATAGGTTATCTATCAAAAGCATTCACTATTCATATCATTGGATTGTATGGCAGATAGCACCAAGATGCCTAACTGGGAGATATGAAATTAATCATCGAGTAAAATGTTTAACCCCAGGTATGCAGACAAATGTGCAATAACTTTGCCACTCCTCCCTCAGGTGAGTTGTAAAGACCTTCTCTTCACAAAATGAGGTTATTCAAAACGAGAAAGCTACGTTATATGCAGGTACACTCCTGACAATTCTGAACGACAAACCCAAATGCTTTTCCAAAATTTTCTTTCTACACACACTGCATGCTCCTAATTAAAGCGAGGTCCATATTTTAGAAGTGATAAATTATACTAACATAACTGATAGTGCTATTGTCTAGTGGTAGCTTTCAACCAAATGAGAGAGAATAATAAATGAACACGAAAAAGAGAACTAGCTCACTAAATACATTAGAAATAAAAAATTAGCAGTGAAATATTAAGTTAACTAGTGTTCTGTTACACTTGAACCCCTTCATTTGTTGGGTTGTAATAATCACACTATAAGGAAACATAAGGACTCAATCATCTGGATATGTACAATACAGGTTTCCAGTTATACGACATAGATATTTCAACAATTAAGTAGTTAAATTTCGCAAGTTCATCATTTATGGCATGCCACTTAATTTGGTGATTGAACAGTATTTGGGCAATTTCAGTTCTTATTAAAGAAATTCAAGATTTAATTTGGCAACTCATTTAATATTACTTCAAAACTTTCTAAGAACAAAGAAAAATAATAAAAACAACAAAAGTGGGTGAAAAATAAGATTATTGGAAAGAAAAGAAAAACAAGTAAGAGATATTGGTGCTGCTGTTTAATACATAATGTTCCAGATACGTGGTACATTTTAGTTAAATGTATGATGGACAACTGAGGTAGGTGGACGGAATGCAGGTCTGGAGATATGGAGCTTTTCCTTTATTTCTTAAAAATGGAAAGACTTCAGGAAAGTGAAACAATGGTGCTCATGATCAAGAGTATTCATTCTCCCAGGATTCACCCAAATAAAGGTAAGAAGAGTTTCGAAGAATTACAATTATCTAAAGAACCTAATCTAATGCATGAGATTGAATTTGAGAACAATGCCATAAAAATAAAAATAAGAGATAAATGTTGGATTAGGATTATCATTAGGATATAGAGGCAAGATTTTACGGAGGATGAGTATAACTGTTGTATGTCGGTAATTTTGATAGAGGGCCGTGGGAAGATTTTTTATTATCATAGAGAATCTGCTATACATTTGCGGGAAATAATTAAATGGAGGATGGGATGAAGTCTATATGCACAAAGATTGTAGAGACTTTTTTTTCCTTTGAATTATTCACAGATTTGAGCTAATCACTCTGAAGAATGTAAATTGCATTCTCATGGAGTGGGTGACTCATCACTCGCTTATTGTACTTTATTATTTTATGAATAAGAAATCAAAAAAATAAATGAAAAAAAAAAGTCAAAACAAAATACCTTCCAATAATTCTCTCTCTACTTTCTTTAATCCTTTCACATTTCATGTTTTCCCCTAAGGTCCAAGATATGAACTTACTTGAGATTGCCAATTCAAACAGATATGGCATATGTCAAAATTCTTAATGTAGCCATCATTGGGGTACATAATGTTTAATGCTTGTGCCACGCATTGTACCTCAAATGTAAGTTCGTATGCGATGTGTCTTAATTAAGCAATATGTCTTAATTAAGCAATATGCGATTGCCCTGGTTTTTTGTGGATTCTGGTGCGGAAGGAGCAAGCAAGAGAAATTGCTTAGCATCAGAAGCTTACACTATCAATGTCTCAAAACAATCTTAATTTATGTCTCACGGAGAACAAATTATCAACCTATTAGGTTAGTATTCTCACATATGTATCTTTTTATCTTCATTGTTTAGGTCTGGTTTAGTGTAACTGTAAAAGGTATTTTCACATAAAAGCACCAAACCATTGAAAATGATAAAACGAGGAAAAAGCATTAGTGCCGGATTAGATAAGCATGATCACGGAACAATTAATTCAAACTGAAACCTTTGAGTTCGTCAGCTGCATTTTCGGCAGGAACATCTGCTCGATCAAAAGGGGAAGCAAAAAAGCCACGCTGTAAGATTCCAGAATCTCTATGTTCGCCACATAGCTGCACAAAAGGTATGAAAAATGTATGTTGGAGTATGAGTTAGAGGAAAGTGGGTAACATGAATCAATCAGTAAGTTTGATATAACATATGCCTACATCACAATGAGAGCCAACTCCAATATTAACCATAGTGCAATTGAGGCAAAACCATTTTGGAATTTCAACAACATTAGGGTTAGGGACATCAGAGGGTTCCCAGTCGCTGTCATCGTCCTCATCATCTTCAAAATCATACTGACCGTTATACATTTCTTCTAAAGTCATATCACTCTTTCTCTTGGAGTTTTTCTGCTTCAGTAGAATCCACAATCAAAGCAACGGAAATGAAACAAATAACATAAAGAAAGGAAAAACGCAGGAAATTTTACTTCTTCCACCAAATGTTGCTCAAGAGCCGAAGCATTATCAGCTTCCCCAACCAACTCTCCGTTTTGTAGATGATTTCCAAAGTCCCCGCCTTTTAAATGTTTCATTGTAGGAGCAACGCAAATGGCGAAATGTTGACACAGAACACCACACGACTGCAAAATTGAAGCAGAATGAATACCCGGTGGACGACGGAGTATGTCAATTCAAATTCTTAGGGCGAAAAATTGGTTTTGATTAGGGTATATTTATTTTCGACCTCGAGCGAAATTTTAAGAGGATGCTTCGATAAAAACTTTTCAAAAATATCAAACATTTTCAACCGAATAATTTTTTTCAACTCAACCTCACTAACATCAATATTATCAATATTGAGTAATATCAATCAATCATTCTTACACACTACATCATTTTAATTCACAATTCATCTACTCACATAATTTTAATTTTAATTTTAATTTTAATTAATCATCAGTTCACATTATGTTTCTCATACTTTTACATCAAATCAACATTAATTATTTTTAAATATTATTTTAATATACCCACTAACAACTAACAATACCACTTGTTTTTAAAATTAACCAAATCAAACAAAAATATCCAAACAAATTCAAAAAAAATTATATTTGATATTTGAGACTTTTTAAGATTTTCATATTTTTAAGGAATACGTGAAATTTAGATGTGGGGTTTTGACTTTTGAGTTGTTCTTTAGAGATCCCAGTAATTTTAAAAAGTCTTAATAAATTTTAGTCTCAAATAAGTTAAATATCTGATGTAAGGGTGTGTTTGCATACAAATATATCCGTCTAAAATAAGTTTTTTTGTTAACCAGAGTTAATTTAAAAAAAAATGGTAGAGTTAATTTTAAAAAATATGATTAGTTATTAGTGAAATTTTGATATTACATTAAAATAATATTTAAATAAAATAATTAAATTTGATTTGATGTAAAAGTAGGAGAGAAATAGTATAGAGTGATCGTTAGTTAAAATTATGTGAATAGATGAATAATAAATTAAAGTTGATGTGATGTGTAAGAATGATTGATTGGTATTATTTAATTATATTGATAATTGAGGATAATGAAGTTGAGTTAAAATTAAGTTAAATTTTGAGTATGAATTGAGATATTTAATATACAAACACACCCTAAGACTTTTTAAAATTTCAAATGAATACCTTAAGACTTTTAAAAGTCTTAAAAAATCTTAAAAGTACATATTAAATATGCTAGGATTTCTAAAGTAATAAAAAAATCTTTATAAATCTCAAATGAATACACTCCCGTAAATTTATTGGTTAAATTAATTTAATTTTCAAGATAATTGAGTAGATTTTGAATTTGTATTATATCATAATAATATTTGATGTGTAACGATTAAATTTGATTGAGAAAAGATTGAGTGGATTTTGAATTTTTATTATAATAATAATTAATATGTAATAATTAAAGTTGATTGGTTTAAATGTAGAAGAGAAATTATTGAAAATGATATGTAGTACAAAATATGTGAGTATATAAATGTTAAATTAAAGTTGATATAACGTGAACTAATGATTGATAAATTAATTGTATTGATAATAAGATGAAAGCTAGGTTGGATTAAATTTGAGATGGACTTTGAGATAACAAATGTAAAAATAAAAATAAAAATGAGAAAGAGATGATTGATTGATATTATTTAATTATATTGATAATATGAGTAGATTGGGTTGATCTAAGTTTGAGATGGATTTTGAGTTAAAGAGTGTAAAAAAAATTATTAGGTCAATCAAAGCCGGTTATATTTTACAGTCAATCGCGCCCTTAAAGAGTTTTCAAGACTTTTACAATCTTTGTGTATTCAATTGCAACTTTTTTAGACTTCTACAAAGTCGACCGGAATATTAATTGAGAATTTTAAAGACTTTTTATAAATTTCTAAAAGTCTATAGTTATTAAATTAAAACTTTCTAAGTTTCAAGTAGACCGAACCGAACCGATAAGACCACACTGTTACCGAAAACTTGGTTGGTTTCGGTTTCGTACCAAAAAAATAAAAAAAGAACAGCAAATCCAATCGCTATTTGTTATGTACAATACAACATCTGCAGCCAAAATCCAAAATAAACAATTGCACGGCCTATAATCTTGAAAGTTAAAACATGATGCATTACATTNACAACATGAACATTAAGTTACTAATCCCAACATTCATCCACCAACAATACAACTTGCAAGAACAAACATTCATCTACCATGTTCCAACATGATTAAGTCCAACAACCAAACAATATCAATATTCCATAATTCAAAGTTCCAACGTAATTAAGAAATATAATAAATTAGAAATGCAGCAACAACATCAAATTCAACATCACCAATCTCCAAATTCCAATCCACTGCTCTGCATAAGAAAAAAAACAATAAATTGCATTAAGAAATAAAGATATTATTATTATATTAAAATAAATAACACTAATTATGATAAAGTTAAACTACAAGAACTTCATCTATTAATTTGCTCGTTGAAGTAGCACCACGTCCTCCACAGTTTGATCGATGGGAAGCTCTTCCCCCTCTAGAAGAATGGAGTGGTAGTTTATTAAACCCGGACTCGTGTGGATTTTATTTTTATCTAGAGGTGGTGACATTTCATTTATATTGGGTATACCTATAAAATAATACAAATAAATAAATAACCAAAAAAATATTTCATGTGCAATATGAATACAAAAAAATAATAAAATAGCTACTTACTTTGTTCCAGTTGTTTGAGTTTCATGTAGAACTCGAGCTCTTCTTCCGTGGGCTCTTTGTGAAATTGAGATTCCTCTTCTATTAGCCAATCATATGTGTAACTAAGCTCTCGACCATCCTAGGCATCAAATAAGCTCTAAATGGATCTACAATCCTTCCTCTAAGGCTAAAGGCATTTTTGCTAGTTGCGGTCGAACTAGGGAAAACAAGTACATCCTTAGCAACCTTGGAAAACAATAGGATAACTTGAGATTTTATTTTTCCACCACCCCAATAAGTAGAAATCCCTTTCTTTATATATTAAGTCTTTGCTCTATCCTCGATTCCACATCATCGTCATCACTACCTTGATCAACACCATCAAACTCATCCTCATGCACGTCCACTTGTGACTTTTTCATACTTGTTACTTTATAAGTTTCATACATAAGATACAAGCAGTGGCGGCTCCAGGGGGAGGCAGAGAGGCTCTTGCCTAGGGCCTCAATTTATTTGGGGCCACATTTTTTTTTGTTGGTTAATACGGTTTGAAGTAGCCTAATTAATGAATGAGTAATGACTAAATATTGACTTAGCCCATTACACAAATAAAGATGCTAATTAATAAAAGGTTAAGGGCTAATGACTAAATATGGACTTGGTCCACTACACAAATGAAGAAACTAATTAAAAAAGGCTAATGGTTAAATATGTAATTTGTTTGTGATTTGAAAACCTAAATATTTCATTTGTTTGCTTATGATGTTTGGGATGAACAATTTTTATTAGAATAATTAGTTTCAGTGATATTATTTTTTATTTTTTATCTTAATGTCCTCGTGACTGTTTCAATGTAATTTATTAAATATCTCTGTAAGATAATTTATCATTTCCAAGATATATTTCAGGATTGATGAAAAACAAGAAAAATTATTTATTTATTTAGCTTGTCTTGTTGAATTAGTTGTTTTTTTCTTCTCTGCTTACCACACAAATTCAAATTGAGAACTTCGAAAAAAAAATAAAATTGTCTGGGGCCTCCAAATTTCTGGAGACGGCCCTGGATACAAGTGTGCTTTCACCCGACTTTTAATGTGCTCAACTTCATTAAGAGTGTAGCTAAGCTTCCCTAATTGCAACTCCATCAATCGAAATTTATATCGCGGATCAAGGGTTTGGGCTACAAACATAAAATGTCAATATTTTCGAGCCCCAATATTTGTCAAACTTCATCTTCATAGAAGTAGCTACATTTTGCAATAAAATATTTTTTTATCTCTAATTTTAGACTCAATCTCAATCTTCAAGTTCATAAAAATTTTTAGAACAAGATGTGAGATCGGAGTCTTGGTGGCACTAAGATTGACGATGGCATCATAGAACTTCTTGAAGAAATGAGCAAATCCCATAGCTTTTTCTCAAACTTCCTCCTTCGGAGGCCCCACTCTTCACTCTTCAAAGTATGCGACAAATGGACGAAATTCTTCCAACAACCTTGTAAATACGCCTTTAAACTTGTAAGCACTATTAAGCATAGTGTATGTGGCATTCCACCGAGTCACGACGTCCAGCGGAATAGTTGACATTTTATCCTTCTTCTCTAAAACTACACACTCCTGAAACTTATCAAATCTTGCACTAGTGAATATGCTTCACACAATTTCAGATGCCTTCAATGGACTCTACTAGCTTTTTTATCCCATCCTTGACAATTAAGTTAATTATATGACAAGCACACTTCATATGCAAATTTTCATCAAGCATAAGACTATCATGCTTCTCGAGTTGCTTATTAAATACTCTATGACCACATCATTGGAACTTACATCGTCCACAGTAATGCTAAACACCTTACTTATGCCCCATTCGACCAACTTCTCTTCAAGACACCTTTCTATATCTTTACCCTTATGAGAAGTAAGTTTACAGAAATTGAGCACTATTTTGTGTAAGTGAAAAATTGAGTCAATAAAATGGGTCGTTACCACCATGTAATTGATATTTTGAATGGAGGTCCACAAATCAGTTATGATACTCACACGGAGATCACAAATAATGCCTTTGATCTTTGCTTTATATTTGCAAAATAAACTGCATACCTCCTTCGCAATCTTCCTCCGATTAAGAACCTTATAAAGAGGTTCAAGATCAAGAATGAATTCTTTTGAAGTCCTATTGCTCTACATTCGAAAAGGCATCTCTACTTTGATAATCCACTTCACACATATCTTGTCGAGTCTTTTTGGTTGAAGTCGAAAATTTTTACTTCAGCTCCCATCATCGACCGAGTTAATGTCGGTTGGTTCCTACCCATCACCATACAAATAGGAGAAGTCTTATACCCATGATACAAATGATCGAGTGTTTTGTAGTATTTTTGGGCATGTGGTAACCGAGCTACCCGACTCGGGTCGTTCTCAAAGGAAGGCTGTTCGGAGCTTCGTTCACTACCTAGTCGTCAAAGGCACACAACCAAAAAGGTCCTAAACATTCTACTCGCTTGATTGTGGGTGATTGCACGAAATTGAACTAAGAATCTAAGAGCAAATAATGAAAAATGCAAGAATCGGAAGAAAGGTCAAAGCATTGGTTGCACCGAGTATCCAGAACTCAAGAAACAA